TGGGGGCAATATGCTGACTCTCTGTAAACCGCTTAGAGAGGCCTGAAAGGCCTATGAAGCAGTATATAAGTCTACTGCTATTGCTATTGCTATTGTCTTCCCTATATTTCTTCCTATTGTACTTTCTTCAAATTCATTTGTTTTAAACCCATTTTAAAGGAATTATTTAACTCATACTTGGAGATATTTAAGGAGGGGAGAATTAGGAATGAAGGGATAAAATTCTTTTTATTTACTGTAAAAATTCATTTTTGTGTCAATAAATTACATTCTGCTCATGTCTTTAGCAGGAGGTTGCTGCATAGAGTTCAGCAGCATACAAATTGTTACAATCAATAAATTAAATTTAAAAGTTTAACTTAAGCTAGACAACTGAAGAAGAGACAAAGGAATTGGCTCTCCCATGTTTGACTGTAATAAAGGTATATGAGTTTGTTGAAAAGGTAAAACTGTAGGAAATACAGGAGGCAGTGGCTATGGAATCTTAAACTCATACTGCAGAATAAACATTGAGGGTATAGTCATATAAAGATGCTAGATTTCATGAATCCCATTAGAAATATAAATTAATAAATGGAATATTATTAGAAAATAATTTAATTTCAACAAGCTTTGAAAGATACTACTAGGTGAGAGCCCATGGGAAACTTTCCTCTGATCCAAGGGAGCACAAGAGTTAAGAATTCCTCAAAAATAAAATACTGAATGTGTAATTGGATACAACTTCAATGAGAAGGAAAAAAATGGGAAGCAGCTTTGGAAACTGCTTGGAAAGATCCACTAGCCAAAGAACCACTGCTGGAAATGGAAGATCACCAAGGAGGTATAATAGGGATTATCTGCAAGGAGGGTGGGGGGAGCCAAAAGGAATTTAGATTCACAAGAGAAGTTGAAAGCAACAAAAAGGGCTGTTTTTTGCAGCATCAATAGTAAAATAAACAAAAGAGAAGGAGTGGGCCCACTGGTAAGAGAAAATAGTAAAAACAAACGACAAAAAGAAAGCAGAACTCAACTTCTATTTTGTTTTCTCTTCATAAAAACCTAAGGAGAATAACTGACAGAAGAAGGGAAGGGTAACCCAAGGCCAGTTAAGGGATGTTTAGGAAACACCATAATTGAATGTCTCAAAAGCCAGTTGTTTCCAAAAATCTAAAAGAAATTTACAGATGTCATTTTAGAAGTTCCTTTCTGTGATCTTTGAGAAATCATGGAGGATGGACAGAGGGCCCCAAAAGTTAGAAAAAGGCACTGTCCTATGTTTTTAACGCTTTTTTTTAGCCTAGCTTCAGTATCTGAATACTATAAGGGTTTGGATGGGGAAAAACAGGCTAAAACTCACCCCAAGGAGACAGGTATAAAAACAGACTGGGGTCAAACAATACCAACATTAGTTCTTGATGGGATTCTGCTCCTCCAGAAAGAGCTGATGCACAATCTGGGGTGCTTCTGGACTGTCAGCTGCTACTGGAATAACAGATGCAATTCAAGTTGTTGGTGACAATCTCCCTGTCCAAAATATGCCTTTAGAGCATATTTCCTGTGTGGAGAACCAATGTGGTGTGATAAGAGGAAACATGGATATCAGGCTTCTCTGCCAGAGCTTCTTTCTGGTGGAATATTGTCCCATCAGAAATCATCATTCCTAGCACTCAGGAAATTTAAAATATGAATATGTTTGGTGAGTGAGTAAAAATGGGATTTGACTGAGTTGAGATGATTCTGGCGGCTTTTGTGTTTATATAATTAAACTGCATTTGTATTAGCATTTATTATTTGTTTCTATGTAAGTATATACGTGGAGAGGCACAGTGGCTCATCGGTTAAGATGCTGGGCTTGTTAGCTGAAAAGCCGACAGCACAGGTTCTAAACCAGAGTGCTACTCAAGCAGCTGGGCTTCCATCCTTGCCCCAGCTCCTGTCCAACTATATCAGTTTGGAAGCATGCAAATGCAAGTAGATAAATAGGTACCACTTCGGTGGGAAGGTAACAGTAGTTGTGATGTCATGCTGGCTACATGACTGTGGAAATGTCTTTGGATAGCACTGGCTGAGTGGCGTTGAAACGGAGATGAGCACTACTCCCCAGAGTCGGCAATAACGAGTGGAGTAAAACCTGCAGGGACTCCTTTTATTTTTAACATAATTGTTTTTAAAAATTGTATATACACACACACATACACATACATACAATTACATTTTCAAACAATTATGTATTGTTTTGTATTCTTTGTTATAAATCTTTTTATAGTTAAGTGACTGAAGTGACATAAAAGCATTTGTAATAATAGAAAAAATATGACAACCTGGGCAAAACTCTGGAACAAATTATTAAGCATTTGCTTTGTGACCATTTAGAAAAGAATCTTTTGATTGATAGAAACCAAGCATAGAGTTATTGAGAATAAATCACGCCAAGTCAACATTATGGTTTTTTTTTTGATTCAGCAAGTAGCTGTAGTTGACCACAGAGAAGCCATGGACATAGTATATTCAATTTCCGATATAGTTCTACAAAGTCCCTCATGAAATTCTAGCAAAGATGACAAAAAGAGAGCAGAACTATACTACCATTTGATCACTACAGGCTGGTTCAATAACGATAGACAAAACGAGTACATGAATGACTCCATGTCAAAATAAAAGAAAGTATTCAGTGATATAGGTCCTGTACAGTGCAACATAGTTAAAAATGATTTGGATGAAGATTAGGAAATCATCACATTTGCTAACAACACAAATATAGGGAGATAGCAAACACCTCAAATGACAGTATCAAGATTCAGAAAGAACTTCACAAACAAGAATAATGGACAGTAGCCAGCAAGATGTAAATGTAAAATCCTACATTAAAGTAAAAGAACTCAAACCATGAGTATAGAATGGGGGGACCATAGTGCACATGTGAAAGGGATCTTGGTTTCTTAGTGGATTACATGCCTGGACACAAGCCAACAGCAATATACAACTTCAAAGAAAGCAAATGTAATCTTTGGTGGCATCAATAAAAGTACAGTCCCTTGTCAAGATCAAGAATATCATTTGTTCTTTTCTAGAATATTGTATCCAATTCTGAGCACTGCACTTTAGGAATGGAAGGAGTGTATTCAGAAGACAATAACCAAGATGAATATGGAACTGAAAAGAAAAACATATAAGGAATAAAGATATTATGCACATTTAGCCTGAGAAAGAGAAGACTAAAGAGAGAATTGATAGCTATATTCAAATATCTGAAGGACTATAGTATCACTAAAAAGACAGAATTATTCAGTTGTTCCAGAAAACAAAGATAGGATAATTGGATGATAATACTTGATTCCCGTACTGGACAAAGGGGGACAAAATGATTTCCAAGGTATCTTCTAATTCTTACATTCTATAATTGTGAATGATTTTATATCTTGCAGCTCACCTGACCATCTCATTTTTTTCCAAATTTTGCCACCTCTCAACTTTTTCCCATATAAAATATGCACAAGGGTCTGGGTTGCTGGAGGCCTACTGGCACCTTCTGTAAGACACCTCCTCTCAGTCTGTTTTCTTCTGCACAGCAAGACCACACACATTTCCATACACTTAATACATATTTTTAGATACTTGGTATAGTTTTTAAAATTTTTATTTGGCTTTTTTATTTTGATGGGGTTTCTATTTTTCATT